TCAGCCCGGCACCTCATAGGCAACTCGACACCTCACAGGCAGCTCGGCACTATAGTCAGCTCACCACCTAGCCTGCCCAGCTCGACTCAGCTCGGCAGCCAAAGTTCTCCACTTCGGCCTGAGTCATCGGCCACTTGGAAGCAGACCAAATGACGAGGTACTTAGCACAAAAAAATTGATTCTTCAATATATGTATAATTTTATAGTGGGTTCATTGACCACCCGAACCAGGCCCAGGTTTGAGCCCAACCCGAATGCATCAAATTACAGGATGGGATGGGCTCGGATTGGAAAAATTGGACTTGACCTCAGGCTCGGGCCTTAAGCCCAAATTTTAGGGCCGGGCCTGGGTTGACCATAAACCCGGCCCAAGCCGCCCGACTTGCACCCCTACGTACAAGCATTTATCGGAAACGTTTTAAGTCTTTTACCCTATCACTTAACACGCGGCTTTGTTATCCAGCGTCCAAAGGAGCATACCCTCTTTTAAAATTAGCGAAGGTTTAATGCATCTCCACATGACACAAGCAGAAACTGTAGAAGAGCACGCAACCACGGACCGTGTACATATATATATACAAAGGAGGGGAGAGAGAAGGAGAGAGTATGAGAGGAGTGAAGTGTACCTCTCATCTCCGACAAACAAATGGACTCCTCTGCAGTTTCTACAGGCCAAGGCGAAATCTTCCAAACAGAGGGGGACAATAACGCATCTCCCACCGGAAAGCGTCCGTCCTCTCGCCGTAACCGATCTTTATCGTACTCATCCTCTTTCCGATCATCATCTTCCTCTAGCTCATCATTATCCTCTCCGAATTACCCCGTCGACTCGCCGTCGAGCCCACTCTCTTCACATCACTTCTCCGGTACCGGTATCCCTTTCTCGTGGGAAAAACACCCCGGAATTCCAAAGAATTCCACGGTTCCTCGTACGTCGTTGTCCAAGTACAAGGACCAGTCTCTGGTTCTACTCCCATTACCTCCTGCCACCTCTCCAACCCCTTCGAAAAGATTCAACTTCGAAGGCTTATTTTGGACCCGAAAGAAGGGCTCCAACGGAAGCCTCCGAAAGGACCCATTCATCGCCGCGTTAATGGAATGTTCCAAGGATCAACGAGATCAGGAGGGCGTTGATGATTATTCGAAGAACTCAAAGGTGTCAAGAACACTAAGTGACAGGTTCGGGTTCATTGATCTACATGCTTCCTGCAAGAGGAGTTGTGCTGTTACAGAAGCTAAAGTGCTTATTCCCCGGTCGAGCCAAGCTTCTTTCGATCTAGTGAATCGTCGGTACCGGTCTGGCTGAAACAAAACACCGGTGAACATCTCGACACTCAGAGATAAGTAATGAAGCCCGTGTTATTACAGTGACAACGCTTGATGCTCGAGTTTATTAGTTTTTTATTTCTTTTTTGTTGTTTTCTCTTCATGGGTCACTTCCCATGATACGTAATGGCAAATCGTTGCTCAATTATGGTTTGGAGACTTGTTTTTCTTCTTTTTTAATTTCGCAACTATAAACTATTATTGTTTATAAATAAATGAAGATAATGAAATGGCGTTTACATGTTAAGCCTGGAAGACAGTGTTACACTGTTATTTAGTAAATGGTCATTTACTAAAATATTCCTTATATTTCATAAATTTACTAAAACCTACCTTATTGTTTATGTTTTACTAAACCATAGTATATAATTTGTAATCAATTTACTTAATTGACATTCTATTTGATGAAAGTGGAAAAACACAGTTTTAACCTAGCATCCATTCAAATAAATTTGATTAAAGGAAATTAAAAACAAAATTGCCATTTTTACCCCTAGTAAAATATGGACAACCACTATTTTTTTTCTATTTGGTCAATTTTGTTTTCTATATAAAAGAAGTGTTAGGAGTACTTTTGGAATAAACAACCATTGATCCATACCCTTAAACATTTCCCACTTATCAGTTTAAGGGTACTTTTGGAATAAACAATTATGAGTCCATGCCCTTAAACATTTTCCACTTAGTTTAAGTGATCATGTTACTATTTTCAAATGGCAAAACAAATAATTTTCAATGAAAGGTCGATTAAGTAAATAAGTTACAAACTATAAGGAGTGTTTTAATAAAATAAAAACTATAGGGTAGGTTTAAGTAAATCTGTGAAATTATAGGGGGTGTTCTAGTAAATGACCATTTAGCAAATAAATAGCATTATTTGACCAAACAAGGCCTTGGAGAAACTAGTCTTGAGAAACTCGGGCTTACCTGAGTGAGAAAACACTTTATATGCTGCATATATGGGAAGCACATCTCTTGATCCTAACATGGTGAGACCCCATCATCTGTTATAGAGTAATGATTCTCATTGTAAGATGATTCATGTCTTGATCTATTCAATTAATGGGCTCCACAAATACAAATATATAGAATGCAAAACCCTGCATTTTCTATTATTTTGTATGTATTTGTACCTACGTATTTGCATTTGTATTCTTTCTAAGGCTCAATTTGAAAGGAATACTAATACAAATATATAGAGCTGCATTATTTCGTATTGTACACATTTGAATTTGTCCTCTTTCCAAATTGAGCCTAAATTTTGGCCAATTTGCTACTGTTCCCCGTTGTATCACTTTTGTATTTATCAATAAAAATTCAGATTCTTCACAAAAAAAATTAAATAAATAATTCAGATTCCTTGCATCCGTACAATGGTATAAAGAAAAAAGTAAGGTTCTAAATGACTAATAATACCCTGTATAATTAATTATCTATTACTATGTTACCTACAATTATTGAGAGTGCTTTGGTCATTTGACCTTGAAGTATGTCCAAGATGAGCATTGGACAAAGAATCTTGTTAAATTAAGCAGAGAATAAAATACAAAAATGACAGCCATGCTTAGACAAAACTGGCTTTAGATCTTGTTCTTACATGGTTTCGTCGCATCTCTCTCTTGCTAGTGCATGTAAAAACTAGTCTTGTTTATATACCATGGAATGGATCTTGCTTGATGCATGGTTGATTGGTTAGGTGAGCTTTAACTCGCCAAAGGTCCTTAGAAGCCATAAGGCATAAGGCAGTGTTATTCTTTTCTTAACTCATTTCCATAGAATTTAAATGACAAATATTCCCCCTAAGAATTTTGAATCTACGAAAATTACAGATTTAAATGTCTAGCTAGAAAGTTAAAACTAACACAGTGGCTTCTAAGATTGTAATCAATGAATCCACATGGTGGAATTGGCAAAATTGTGGGCTCCAACCATCTTGCTATGGTCCAAATACAACCCTTCACATGAATAATCAATTTTCTTTCTTAGGTTATTTACTTAGGAGGCTTTTGGCAAGTCTTTTTAGGAAGGCTTCCAACGATTTTGCTATGTTCTCAACAAGTTTGAATGCATACCAAGAATGGAAGTAGCTGTTACGCCATCTAATGGTCGATCGATTTCTTGATGTAGTTGATTAGATAGAATGAGTTAGTAGATGACTATAACTTGGAAGGGAAGAATTTTTTTCTCCTCTGGTTGACTGCTTCCTCTTGGTAGTCATCAACTGGCTCATGTCCAATGTCTCGGCCAAAAAGAGTAGTGAATTATAGCAAAATAGGTACTTAACTACTGAATAATGTTTGGGCATTTATATGCCTCGGCTATTAAGGGTAGTCGACTATAGGTTTATACTACCCTTCGCTGCCAACCGTAGCTCACTATAGGAAAATTAGTAGTACTACTAACAGTTCCAACACTTTGAAACTTTAGAAATTTTAGTCCAACGGTTTGGAAAACTTTCCCTTCACTTTCAAATGTGATTTTTAACATTAATTTTAGTTAAAATCTATGAAAAGCATGGGAACCAAACATAATCTAAACATTGGTCTCTAAGGTAAGCTTAACCGAAATCCCAACCATTCTCCCATCTTTTCTTCTTCTTCTTTGTGATGAACAGTGGGTCAACAAACTAGGATCGCCGATTGTCTAACAGAAATGAAGAAGAAAAAAATATAATAAAATAAAAGGAGGGAAGTGACAGTCAAGTATACACTTCACTGTTGCACATCCACAACCTCCACTGTTCTAGCAAACCTATCTTGTCCGACACCACCAAGTGATAGTCCAGCGAACGACGAATTTGCAACTCAAGTATATAGGTTGTAAAGGTAATTTTTTTCTTTCTTTTCCTTTTTTCCCTTTTTATTCTTCAATTCTTCCCTTGTATTTTTTTCTTACCCACCAGATTATCCGAGTGAGAATGTGAGATAGTAAAAGTGTGAAACCGAACGGTGATTACCACTTGTAATTTTTTTTCTTCCCCTCTATGTTTTCCGTACCTACCGGATTATCTAAGTAAGAATGTTGTCTCATGTCTGATGATGTTTGTACAATGTTCTGATTTCAGTTTTAACTGAAACAACCGAAATAACCAAGAAAAATTTTGGTTCGGTTCCCCAAATTGAAAAATCGGTTTTGAAAAATTTGGTTTAATCAGTTTGGTTTTAAACCGAATAAACCCAATACTCACACCTAGTTAGTATTCTCATTGGTACTCCAAACATGTATATGATGTTCTGCCTTATGAAGTTGGTCACTTGCTTATTCTTATTTTCTTGAGTAGTATTACTTTTACCCATTTGGTGAAATAATCTATGGCTACTAAGATCCAACAATATCCTTTGGAGGGTGATATTATTTTTCCAATTAAATCCATTTCCCAATTATGAAAGGACCATGTGTTGTTTCTGAGTTCAGTGGTTGGCTGGTTGATATATGAGAGGTGCATGGATTTGGCATTTGTGGCAGGTTCTTGCATGTTTGGTTGTATCTTTTAAGCATTGTTGGCCAATAGAATTCTAGGTGAAGAAGGTGTTGGTAGAGTTCATATCTTCCTTGGTGGGCTGCAGGTTCTTGGTCATGTATTTGCTGTAATAAGCTTGGATTTCATTACCTGTGAGGCATCTCAAGGGTCTCCCACCAAATGACTTTCTAAAAAGTAATCCTTTTATCATCATAAATCTCCTTGTTTTCTTTTTGATCTTTTCATCTACTTATGTGTCATAAGGTAGTGTTCCATCTACGAGGTAGGCTATGTAAGGTTGTCTCTAGTCTTCTTCAAAGATTATTAGACACTCGTGTATCTGTTTATGGTAGGAAATTGGTGCAACTTTCTTATATCTCTCTAGCATATTTTTTATCTGTGGCCAGTAATATCCTAACCTCTATAATTTTCTATATAGGATTGTCATTTGGTTTCCACAACACTTTTTGTGGTCTTTTGTTAGGGCATTTCATGCTTCTTTTTCTCCTAGGCATTGTGCTCTCACTCCTTCCGGTGATTGGTAATACAAGATTTCACCAACTAGTTGATRTTTTTTATACAATAGTTTCCCTTTCTCTATAAAACTATTAGGCTATGTTTGGTTTGAAGGAAAAGGTAGGGAAACATATACAAAGTTTGTAAAGGTTTTCCTACCTTTCCTTTCCTTTCCCTACTTTTTACCTCAAACCAAACGTAGCTTTAGTTTCTTTCAGCTTTTCTATTATTTTTGCTCTCCAGTCTCTTTCTGCAATTGTTTCTGAATTTTCTACCAACTTTGCTAGCTCCTCAACAATTGGTGCTTATTTTTTGTGGATAACTACTGCGACCTCGTCGCCTTTAAAAGTTGTACGCAAACCTTATGTGGCTAGTGAGCCTGAAAACTTGTTCTTTTCTCTACTCAAGTAGTTTAAAGTGGCATTGATGTCTTGGCACAACTTTTGGATTAATGTTCTATAAGGTAGGAAGACTAGTTCTTTAATAGCCATGTCTCCTTTCATTTGTTGTATCACTAGTTGAAAATCTCCATTTGCCACCAAATTTTTAACTCCTAGTTCCTTTGTAAGGTAGAGTCCTATGGTCAAGGCCTCATATTCAGCTACATTATGGGATCTTGGGAACTGAAGTTTATATGATTGTGATATCTTATACCCATGAAGGGGTTGTGGGACTGTGCCTATGCCACCTCCATATTTTGATGTGAATGCTCCGTTGAAGTATAGTTGCCATGCTGCCTTATTAACTACTTTAACCATGGGGATTTCTCTTGGGATTTCTTCGGTGATTATGAGATTGTCTTTGGATGGGAAAACTGCTAGTAGGTCTGCTACTACTTGGCATTTGATTACTTTGAGGTACTGGCACGTTATAGAGTATTCATTAATTGTATCAACCCTTGGTTAATCTTCTTGAGAGGGGAGGTTTGTCTATGAAATACTTGATAGGGTCATTTTTTATCATCAAGATTCTATGAGAAAGAATGAAAGTGGAAACTTTAAATA